GGATGATATATCCAGTCAACATCATGGTGTTTAGAGTGATCACTAGCGATGGCGACGTTATGCCTCTATTCATCTTCCCACATGGACTCAGACTCAACACGGAGGCCTACATCAAGTGCCTTGAGGAGGTAGTGCTGCCCTGGGTCAAGTGGATGGCAAGATATAGGTTGCTGGAAGTTCCTATATCTGGCAACAGGACTCTGCACTATGTCACACAAGCAAGAGCGCCCAGTTAAAGCTGTCAGACAATTTCTGCAACCATATCACCCCTTACATCTAACCACGTAACTCCTAAAACTGCACCCCCCTTGATTATTATGTGTGGGGTGCATTTGTGAGTGAGAGACCAACAAAACCCCTTGTCCCACCAAAAATGAAATAAAAGCAAGGATCAGGTCAACATTTATCAACTTAAACAAGGAGACCGTCCCGAAGAGATGCAGGAGATTCCGAAGTCGTTTGCAGGTCGAGGTTGAAGCCGATAGCAATTTTATTGAACAAATTTACTCTTTACAATTTCAAGATATTTTTGTGTAATTTTGGTGTATATCTGTTCAAATAAGATGTCAGTGTTATTTTCATTTTTGCGTAATTTGGATGACAATTTATCCATCGCACCCTGTATATATTAAAAACATACCACGGGCTGACCCGAGTATTGTGAGGGTAAATAGGTAAACAAAAGTCCTTGGAAAACCGTTGGTGATTACGCTAATACGTAATTACATGTCTTCTTGACCAATGGTATGAATGTACTAGCGTTGTTGAACTATTGATCATGTAAGATGATGCGCTCTCCCAGAGACTATAACTAAGGATCCGCTCAGCATATATATATATATATATAGTGAAGGTAAAATAAATCCGTGGGTATATAATCCAATTGGGTCCTAGTAATATTAACATATTTACAACTGATCCACAAAAGTGAGCTTAACGTATTTTATTTATACAGAGTAATATGATGAATAATCAAAAAATCTGTTTACTTCATGTGGGGAATAGACTATTTCGGCAGACGATGAAAGTGACTCTGTGTGTGTGTGTGTTGTGTGTTGTGTGTGTGTGTGTGTTGTGTGTGTGTGTGTGTTGTGTGTGTGTGTGTGTGTGTGTGTGTTGTGTGTGTGTGTGTGTGTGTGTGTGTGTGTGTGTGTGTGTGTGTGTGTGTGTGTGTGTGTGTGTGTGTGTGTGTGTGTGTGTGTGTGTGTGTGTGTGTGTGTGTGTTGGTGTGTGTGTGTGTCCTTGTGTGTGTGTGTGTGTGTTGTGTGTGTGTGTGTGTGAAACTCTTCTTTGAGTGGTATACATACTCGGATCCCTGGTCACAATACATCCTTGCGCTGGTGGTATGATTAGCTTGGACGGGTCTGACCAGCGGCCCGAGTGAAGTCACTCGGATCCCCACGTTAAAAACCGACATTATGTCTCTCTCAAACTCAGTGGGGGGAGTCTATATATATATATCTATCTATCTATATATATATATATATATATATATATCCACAGACAGAGAGTTTTGCTGTATCACAACTCGTGTGGCTAGACGTCCGATTGCCTCTAGCTAGGATCGAAACCCTACTGAACTGGCGTCAGTGTTGGATTCCGTTGGGATGAAGGTGAATTTAAGTGTATCTATTTTTAGATAAACACGCAACCGAAAAGTCTTGCATTACTAGCCGTCATAGGACGTAGGTGTTCGTGGCTCTCCACAGCTTCCTGCCGCTTGTAGCTCCTAATAAACTTTATCTTTGTTATTTTGTTAAACCTGTTCTGTCATCTATTTACTAAAGCTCACTAAGTATGTTATGCGTTGTCCCCCCCACTTGCCCTCTGTCACGTGAGTATCAGATTTTCCAAGCTCTCCTTCCTCGTTATGAACCCCAGAAACCTCAACTGCTTTTCCTGATTTTAACTATAAATTTTCTTTTCGTTTTGTTTTTTTTCTCTAAAAATTCATCATTGTTCACATGTTCGGTTTATGTTATCCTCAGTATCCTTCTGTAGAACCACATTTCTGTTGCTTCAAACCTCTGCTTCATCTTTGAGGAGATGCCATACAGGAGGACAGATATCACGTAACTTTGAGTAATCTTTTCCTTGTTTCTAGCGATATTTTTCTATTTCTTATTACTCTGCTTAGCTTTTGGAATGCACCTTTGACTACCCCAACACGCTTTCGGTTTTCAGTGTCATTCTTTCCATCCTCTGTCAAAACACTTCCCAGATATTTAAGTTTCTGACATTGTTTGACTGTAAACATCAAAATCAAAACCTCAACTGTTTCTTCCTGGTGTCAAGTATTAGTTTCCTTTTTGATTCTATTTTCTCAAAAACTTCGCCTTTACCTACATGTTGGGTCCATAGTATCCTCAGTAGCTTTCTGTAGAACCACATTTGTGTTGCTTCAAGTCTCCTATTCATCGTTGAGATCTTTCAGCAGTAACTGCCATACAAGAGGACAGATATCACATAGTAGTTCAGTACTCTTTTCCTTGTTTCTAGCGAAATTTTCCTATTACTTAGTACGCTGCTTAGATTTTGGAAGGCATCTTTTGCTATCCTAATACGCTTTCGGATTTCAGTGTCGCTCTTTCCATTCTCTGTTAAAACATTTCCCAGGAATTTAAATTTCCGCACTTTTTTGATTTTGGTATCGCCGATTTGCAGTTCGCACTTTGGACTCATCCTTTTGCTAACAATCATGGATCCTGTCTTCTTGCAGTCTGTGTTTAATCCTTTCGTATCGCTTTCCTTTACTCTCTTCTGTAGTTTCCTTTTTGTGTCTGCTATCAGTACTGTGTCATCTGCATATGTTGTTAAGATTGTGGCCACCAATAATGAATCCTGGTAGGACTTCTAGTTCTCTCTGAATCACCTTGCTGCACGACTCAGTAAATTCAATTGCCACTAGGTGCTCCATACTTTAGGACACATCTAAGCTATGCTTAGTAAATCAAGATTTACCGGGCCTGTGGGCTGTGATTAAAGTATAGTATCTGTTCTTCACCTCCAACTCTGCAACAGCAGCTTCTTCATTGCACTAAAGAAGGCAAGATTGACAGACATTAGCATGACAGTGTTTGCGAGGACTTGGTAATTTTTTCCGATGCGCCATATGCATGCGTATGAGCACCTCACAATAAAAAATGACCTTGTGTCACCTCCTACACTTTAAATTTACCGGGCTTGGGATGAATGTTGTAGCGTTTGTTCTCTCTTCAAGTTATGGGGAAAACCTGGTTCCGGACATTCCAATACTGTGGTGATACATTCCGTATTGCACTACAAAAAAGTGGAGGCTGGTCGATTTCAGTGTGACAGTAGTTGCAAGGATTGGGCAGTTGGTGTCTTTTGCCTATATATGCACATATAGTCACCTGACCATATGTCACGACCTGACACCGTTAGTATGTGTGTAATCAAAAATTTCATTATCTGTTGTTCTCTCTCAGCTATAATGGAACCTAGTCTCGGGGATTCAAACCCAGTGACAGCACGTCCCACATTGCACTAAAGAGAGATGTATGATGCCGACAAAAGTGTGGCAAAGATCCCGGGAACTGGGCAATTATATTATTGTCCTTTGTTGTGACCAAGTCAATGGTTAAGTACACCAGAAGAGTATTACACGATTAGTAAGAGTGTATCGAATGGACTAGAGCTCAATCTGTTACTGAACCCTCTCTCCTACTAAACTTATAGTAGGCAGAAGAAATCTAACATTTTTCAGCCTGACTCCGTACGGAGTCTTTGGTTTTATAATTACCACACAATATTTTTTATTCAATCCTTTTTCACAAAACAAATCAGAAACAACCACTTTGAAAAAGCTATATACAGGAATTACGTTTACAATTTTTTTTTAAATGATAATAATTTCGAATAATCCAATGCGTATTGTGCTTTTCTGGTAATTCAAAGTTCATAAGTGCGTTTTTTGGGGGTGGGTTTGGTTTTTTTTTTGTTTTTTGTTTTGTTTTTACTCATCCTTTTCTTTTTTCTGTTGACATGGTATGACATGAAAGATATTCAATATCTTTTCCTTTTCGAGTTAACTTTTAAAGGTTCTGTAAATTTCCTTTTTCTCTTGGGCCTTCTGAGCTCTGGCACTAATTGCGGGTTTGGAATGTCAAATATAACAGACTCTTAAAGGGAGAACACCACAACATCCTTGATCTTTTTTCATGTGTTCCTAGTAATATTCTCACATTGTCATTAAATATCTATGCAATTGATACCACAGTTTATGGGCGCACCACCCAAAAATCTATGTGATTAGAGCCTGGTAGCTGATTCATCCAATGCGTGGGGGGAGAATGTAACTTCCATTATTTCTAAAATAAAGCGAGTAACGTTTCACCATCAATGGGGAAAACCCTGAATTCTCTCGAGTCATGATAAATGTTTGCACTCTCAAAGAGGATCCTTACTTCATTGGAACTCAAGTTCACCCCTGACCTCAAGTAGAATCGCACCGGAATGTAACCGACTCCTCCTGCCACGCCCTAACTTTACAAGAATCAGATCCGAGCAAATATGGAGTATTGCTGCAACATCTGGGCTGCAGTTGCCCAATCCTCACTTGCGTGACTTGATAGAATTCAGAAGCGTCTACGCCGGCTTATGGTTGATTAATTATCTTCCACATGAGAACCACTTCCCCATAGGTAAAACGTTACAATTCACTTGCTACTCAATCACTATTTCTGTGGAAAACGTGCTGAGAAAATACATTTCTTAGTTTCGTCAGTTCAGATCATTGCAGCTACAACGGCCAGATCACGTTGAAATACCGGTTAAGCAACGTCGAACATGGTCAGTACCTAGATGGGTGACCACTTGGGAATACCAGGTGCTGTAAGCTTGTGTAAGGTGTGCGGATGGTGTAATGGAAAATAGCTTCGAATTGTTAATCGGAGAGCCGAGTTCCAATTCAAGTTATATTCACTTATGTACAAATACCCTTGGGAAAGGCATGAACCCGCATCTTCTTCTGGTTTATGACCGCATCACGTTTAAACACCGGTTCTCGTACGATCAACGAAGCTAAGCAATGTTGAGCCTGGCCAGTACCTAGATGGGTGGCCCCTTGGGAATACCAGGCGCTGTATGCTTAGATGTGTGTGCGTTGTGTAATGGATAATGGCTCTGAATTGTTAATCGGCGAGCTGAGTTCCAATTCCAGTTGGGTTCGTTATATTCACTTACGCGCAAATCCCCTTGGGAATGGTATGAATCCACCTCTTCTCCCCCACCCAGTTATAGGTTTGCATCAGTAAAATCATTATTATCTCAAAAAAAATTCTTACAAATTTTTGCGATGTCAACGAACACCCGTTGCTACTGTTATGATGTCAACGAATACTCGTTGTCACTTTCGTAATGCTCGTTGTAGTAGAGACTTTGTAATCGCAGATACAACTATAGTAACGCTGTTGAACAATACTGGTATCAGACGCTTTCGAATAATCTCGCACTAACAGTACTTGCTCGATAATACTCACTCGACAAGTAACCACCGTATAGTGATCTGAATAGCGAAATAGCATAGTGAATAGAGTAGAGAATAACTGTCCGTATAGTAATAGAGAATAGTGTAGAAATGCCGTCCGTATAGTATAGAGGATAGACTAGATATAGCGATCCATTAGACACACGCTACCTCCCACATATGCGTTTCCTCTATGGTCGCGTGGTCTACTTAATTCAATAATGGGATCGCCTGTGTTTGCTCACTGGCGATCTATGTTCAAACTCGAGTGTCGGCAGCGACACTTTATTCCTGTATAACACAAAATATTTTCTGGTTTAAAATAAATTGCAAAGGATTGACAAGCTGTAAAAATGAATCAGTCAAGGGTTGAATCATCTTCATTGCCTTCGTATTTTATTGTTAAGTAGGAAATTCAATTCGAGCAGCTTCTTAGGAGAACGAAAATCTAAACCTCTTAAAGTTTAGGATCAATCGCTATCTATCTTACATATCCTCATATTCTTCATTTTATATCTCCTCCTTTTACGATCATAAAATAATTATTCAATAATCCTATACGTTGAGCGGTTCTTGGTTATTATTTTGGGTGTATAATGAAAAGAAGTTAGATATACGACAACAAGGAATAGAATTTCAAAATATATTTTTAAAAATCGACTGTAAATTGTTTTAAAGTGTTTTCACTACATTTAAACAATCTGTTTTATTGTGAGTCTGAAACTAAAACTCGTATTGTTCTTCGTGATCATTTTATTGTCTCTGACAGTGTCAGCCGATATATGAGAAAGCAGAATGGAAGCTTTATATTATTAAAAACTTTTTTTTTATTATTATTTATTTCGGATATCAGCTTCGCTGCTTACTGATAATGTGCTTTCATCAAACCCCACGTCAAGTCGCCTCGCCCAACTAAAAATTCGATCTGTCCTGAAAGTGTAAACGAAAGAAGTCTAAATTGCCAAAATATCCGTTATTTCGGTGGCGGAAGTGACGGTTGTATTTCTGAAACAATTCCCAAAGAGTTGGTCTCAAAGACTTATTTACTATCTAGATGCTTCTATTAAATTTATGCGCATGCGCATTAGACGAAGATACCATAAAGAAAAAACAAATACGCAATCATCATAATTTTAGCAAAAACTTTTTAATGTTTTCATTTACTTTCATATATTATATATAAACGCGCACACACACGCACACATATATATACATATATATATAAACATACGTATATATATATGCACACATATATATGCACATATATATAAAGACATGCATATACATATACACAGAAACACATACATGTATTTACACGCATTTATATATACATATACACACATATATATACACACACACATATATGAGCGTGTATATAAATATATTTATATGTATATGTTGTGTATATAAATATATTTATATGTTTGTATAAATAAATATATTTTATGTATGTGTAACTATATATATATATATATATATATATATATATATATATATGTTGTCTGTGTGAATATATATGTCTGCGTCTGTGTGTGTGAATATATATATATATATATATATATAAATATATATATGTGCATGTGTATGTATATATATATATGTGTGTGAGTATATATATATATATATATATATGTGTGTGTGTCCTCGCGCGTGTCTGTTTCGCTCTCTTTCTCTCTCTCTATATATATGTGTGGGGTGTATATATCTATATCTGTTTATACATATATATATATATATATATATATATATATATATATACAAAATATATATATACACACACATATATATACATACACACACACACAAACACGCACACATATATATACGCACACACACACGTACACACACACATATATATACACATACATATATTACATAGACTCGATTACATTTGTTATTCGTGTTTATGGCTTTGATTGTTTTTAACGTGTGCAATAGAGAGCGAAGAATATTTTTGTTTAACAATTCCAGGATATTCATATCTTGAGCATGGAGATATGATTTTTATATCCGGTCGCGCGAATGGTAATGGACGCGAGACTGCACGGCTGTATCAGACCGAAGGCAGCCGAGTCATCCAACTTTTGCTGCTGTTTATCATCGTTGCTGACACAGGATCCGTGTCTGCAGGGGACGATCCAGCCATCAGCACACATCAAATGACCCAAGCATTTCGTACATCTCATAGTACCCCATGGTGGGTACTTCAAGGACAGTTCATTTGTATCTTTTGCAACGTGTGCAGGGTTTTTTCGCCCTCTGATCCCTCACCATAGGAGAACTTTTGCTGATCCTGTTCTTTGTCTTTTCAGTCTTGTTTACCTATGAGGCAACATCTGAAAGAGATGGAATGACAAATTTACACAGCCAACATTTGTGAGCGGATCGGAATCCCCATGATAGAATACAGGCGAGACACTAGCATCAGTTTACGCTTAATGTGAAGAATGGAATTGTAGGTTACTGTCTGGTCGGTAGATATGGTCTCCCAGCGCACCCCACAGGATCTGTCTACAGAGACTTTATTTTGAACACCTTCCAGACCTGCTATAGGATGCACCCCTGCTAATACAAAGACGCATGTGGTTCGTGTATAACGGTGATCTAGCACATTTTAGTCACTTTGTTGGCGGTGCACTGGATAACATCATCCATGAAAAATGGACAAGTAGAGGAAAACCGGTTCCGTAGCCTGCGCGTTCCCCCGATCCCAATCCTCTGGCTTCTTATCTATGGGGTCGCCTAAAACTATTGGTTTATGCAGAAGATATTAATAAAGCAGAGACACATCATCAGCGTGTCATGGGGACCTGCGAAAACATTCGACACCGTATGCGAGCATGTGAAAGGATCTGCCAGTCAATGATCCGATTAGTGCATGTGTATGTAGAAACAAGCGGTGGACATTTGAATATTTGTTGCTGTGTTAAGGTACAAAGATGGCCTTTTGGACATATGTTTATATGGCATTTTACCCTGTTTTGGTGTCAGGAACCCGACCGCAAATTTTGTAAATGTATTTTTGCATACGCTCTATACACACTCACACACATACTCACACACGGATAGATAGATAGATAGATAGATAGATAGATAGATAGATAGATAGATAGATCCTCGTCATCATCATCTCCTTGACTCCTGTAATCGTAGGTGGGGTCCAAATGCAGAAGCCACAGTAACTCTTTTCCACAACGGTCTATCAACAGCAGCCATCAGCAGTTCTGATACAGTCATACCTTCCCATTGTTTGAGATTGTCCAAACCGTTTTTCCGTTGGCATTCTCTCCTACGTCCATCTTCAATGGTGACTTGCATGACGGTCTTGAACAGGATGTCATGCCTTGTAATATGTCCAAATCACGCCATTTTCTCCGTTTGACTGTGGCAAAAAGAGGTTCCTGATATCCCACAAAACTTTCAACCTTTTCCGCAAAAACTCATTGTTTCTTTTTGTTCCCAATAGAAGGATGTTTTCGCAATGCATTTGTTATCAAACGCTTGGGTCATTCTCTTCTGGCAACAGTGTCCACGATTCACATCCATATAGGAGAATTGAGGCTACCAGCATTTGTACAGTCTCTAAAGCTGATTTTTCTCCTCCATATTCAATTTGGCCATAGCTGACATCGCTCAGGCAATCCGAGTTGCAAAGCCACTTTCCAGGTTTCAAGTTCTTTGCTGCCAACTAATTCTCTTCATTCAGTATTGAAGAACCGAAAATTGATGACCTCTTCCATTGTACTTCGCCAGGTTCTAAAATCTGTTTGTTTATCCGAAAGCAGTTCTTCAGCCTTGGATTTCAAACGATTCAAAGCCGCAACCTGGCACTCACCTAATGGGAAGATCCATAACCAGATTGTGGTTCCAGACAGCTTATGGGGGTGTAGAGTATTGGCCAGGGTGAAATGATGACTTCTGACAAACATTTATACACACACACACACACACACACATATATATATATATACACACACACATATATATACACATACATATATATATACACACACACTTATATATACACACACCTATATATAAACACATACATACACATATATAGTGATTTTCCAAGCGTAGTTTGGATGTGGCACAAGGCCGAAAGTAAGGGGCACCCAGTGAGGATTGAACTCATTACTCAGTCGTAATTGTTCCAACGAGACAATCTTGCTAACCATTACACTACCTCGAGGTACACATATATACATAAACACACGCACAAACACATATATATATATGCACATATATATACATACCCCCCACACGCGCACGCGCGCGCGTCTGCGTGTGTGTGTGTGTGTGTGTGTGTGTGTGTGTGTGTGTGTGTGAATATGAGTATTTGAAAGAGAGCGATACGTTCAGTGTGTCTTATTTTCTTTCTTCATTTGACTCGGCTTTCAGTATTTACGATCTGGAGTTAATAAGCTAATAAGTTTGTGTTGTTGGGAAATACGTTTCCGAATGTAACTCTAAAATATAAAAAAAAAACAAAAAACAAGAGTTGTCAACAGAAAATCTTACTTCTTAACGTTGTATTTATTTCTTAACGAAATCAGATTTCGGTCCTCTGCATGATAATCCGGTTCGATTCTGCTTCCACGAATTTTTCTCTATTTTCCTC